GAAGGTAACAACGATCCAATAAACATTATTTCAGTGGATCATTTTGTGGCCTAGTTGATGGCTTCTGGCATTAGGACTTTAGGTTACCAAGGTAAATGTGAACTCTTACCTGATGGCCTTGACTTTGGTCCCATCCACATACCGGTCACATTCTGGAAGTACATTATGGAGTTATCCACTGTAGGTCACACTTAACTTTTTATGGAAATGGAGTTACTCATTCCTCGGCACTTTCCAAATCCAGACCTCCTAACTCCTCTGAAACCTTCCACAGGACCAGAGTACTTCAGACCGAAAGGAAAATTCATCCGAAAATTCATTGCTCTTCATTTATATTTAAATACGTAGTACCCAAAGCCTAGTTGTTTTTATTCCTAGGTCCTATAGGCAGGGAATGTGATGTTTATTTAGTATTCATTTTGATAAAATTGTTTCATCAGAGAAGTTGGTAGGATTTGTTTCTTAATGATTTTACTTGCCAGAAGGCAAGTAGGAGAGTTTCTAATTGGCAATTCACTTTTCTCTAGCATTGCATTTTCACAAAGCCTTCATTTGTGTGTATATGTGTTTTAAATGACTGCTAAGCGTTTAAAATTGTAATTCAAATAATATTTTAAATGAGATTATAATGTGATTTTAAAAGTTAGCAGATGTTCTTTATCCTACATTGAAAATAATATTGGTTTATAGCTCAATAGATTCCAAAAGGATTCTAAATTGCTTTTCTACAGTTATCAGAAAACAGTACTTTATGATCTATTCTTAATCTGACACGCATTTTATCTCACTGGTAAGCCTTTCCACCACTTCAGTTACTGTTTTCTGAATGTCATGTCTTTGAGCAATACTGAATTCTGGGATTTGGGATTTTGCCAGGTAGACCACAGTTTAGGTGGACCTGTGTCAGCCTATCAAATCAAGTGTTTAGGGCATCATAAAAATTTAACATGATAAACCTGATTTTGTCTGCATGTTGGTTTGGTAATTTTACTACATTTTTATCAGCTACAACTTGTTTTCTATCCTATGTATGGTCTGTATCAGTCATAAAGGAATCAGGTCAATCTTGAATTATGACTCTTCTATTCATGTCATTGGAACATAACATCACTTTGTCACATGAATTTGAAAGATTGACTACATGAGAAACCTTTTTTAGACTAGATCAGACTTTCATCTAGGAATATCCAATACTGGCTTTGACTCATGCACACCCACCTGCACAACAGAAACAACATTAAATAACCACTCGAATGAATGTAAGGAGCATGGGGCCTGCCTGTGTGTGCCTTTTTTGTGCACCATAGTGGATGTCAGGTGGCTTGAGAGTGCTAACATATTATTGTTGGAGAAAATCTTCTTGTTCAATAACAATGCCTGGTACAATGTAGCTACATAGTAGATCTATGTAGAACAAGAACCTAACACATTTTTAAGCAGAAGAAAAACACAATGTATTGATAGCTTACATCTACAACACTCTCAGGAGGCTGAGATCCGAGAATCACAGTTTGAAGGTATCCTGAGCAGACAGATCTGACAGATTCTTGTCCCCAAATAACTAGCAAAAAATTCATAATTGGTAGAGCTCCAGTCATGATTTAAAAAGTTTAACGAGCTCAAGGTCCTGAGATTAATCCCCAGTCATAGCACAAAATAAAGAGAAAATGATGATGAGGAGGAGGGACAGGAAAATTAAAATTTTTCTCACAATAAAAAAATTAAATTCTTAATTTGTTGATATAAAAAACAGCCTATTGTGCCAGGCATGGTGATGCATTCCTGTAATTTCAGCACCCTGGAGGCAGAGGCTGGGAGATCTCATGTTTGAGGCCAGCTTGGCTTACATAACAAGTTGAAGACCAACTTAGGCTATTTACCAAGACCCTGTCTCCAAACAACACAAAAATATCATATTGTGACTTCTGATGTTCCTATACAGCAGCATTAAGGTTATAGGTTTTAGTTAAAATATAAATAGCATTATTTCTCATTTATTTCTATAGTGATTTCAATAATTTTAGAGCTGGGTGCTGGTGGCTCACGCCTGTAATCCTAGCTACTCAGGAGGCTGAGATCTGAGGATCATGGTTCAAAGCCAGTTTGTTAAAATCCTTATAAATCTGCAGATTGTTAAAAATTATATATATTGTCTTGCTAATCAGCCAAAAAAATCAAAACATTTGATAAGAGCTGCGTTAAGACCACATTAAATTATTTTTATGTTGTTGTTAAGTGTTTGGGGAATTATTTGAATATATATTCTTTATCATGTTTAATGTTCTAATAAACTTAATAATAAATGAGGTTAAATCCATTTATTAAAGGACAAGAAAAGGTCACCAGTGAAAAGCCTTTGTAATTATTCGGTTCCGTGGCATTGTAGAGTAACTGAGAGAATTGGCAATTGAGCAAACAGTGAGATACCTTCCCAATACTTGCTGGGGGACTTGGTGAACTGTGGCAATTGTGAACAGAGAATACAAGCTAAAAGATTCCTTATAAAATGGTTCACTGAAGGAAACATAGACCTTCCTTTCATTTAAGTAGAACTTACTAATAAATCTGTTGCAAACAGCTGTGTATTTGAAGGAAAAGTTTAAGATAACCTTAAAAATAAGTAGTAATTGAAGCAACCCATAAGATCTAAAGCTCTCTCCAAGAGACAGTATACTTACACTCAAAGGGAAAAGCCCATTTTAGATTGTAGGATTTTGTGGCATTTTACTTTTGTTGGTATGGTTTGCCTTATTTCTCTTATACTAGCAGCTTTTCTTTTTTATTTTGGTGGGGGGAGTCTGGTCATGGGGCCTGTACTCTGGGCCTGGGCGCTGTCCCTCAGCTCTTCAACTCAAGGCTAGCGCTCTAACACTTGAGCACCACTTTTGGCTTTTTTCTTTTTGCTTACGTGGTGCTGAGGAATAGAACCTAGGGCCTCAGGCATGCAAGGCAAGCGCTCTACCTCTGAGCCACCTTCCCAGCCCTACTAGCAACTTTTCTAAGCCTGAAGGGATTGGATTATATGTGAGGTCCAAACTCTTAGTTTTGTTAAGAATGTCATAATCAGCCTTTTGCATGCAATTAGACTAGCCTAAAATATAAATTCTTGTTGCTTGATCTTAGTGACTCTTTCATAATTGAATTAAACCTGGAAGAGTCATTAATGGATGTTTGATAATGAGGTACATTTGCAGTAGCTTCTATTTTAGAAGCCTTTTGCAGAATTTTCAAGCTGTAGTTAGATAACAATATACATGAGATTAAAATGAAAGCATGACATATATCTAGAGGAAATTTCCTGACTTCTTTTGATCTGTGAATTCAATTTCATGCTAGATGATATCTGAGCCTAGAAATGGGAAAGCTGTGAAAACCATGCCATAAAAGGAGGCAGGGATAAGACTGAGTGGGAGTCACCTAAACTCCAGATCTGGGTGAAGGTAGCCGATCAAATCACACCTTGGGGAACTCACCATAGGATGCTTTCTGGTTACTGTGGATTTCTCATTTCTCATGTGGGTGTGAGTCATTCAGCTTCACAGAAGATTATTGCTTAGACCTCTGTCTCCTACTAAACAGACTACAGTTGGTGTACTAAAGTTTGAATAGGCAGAGATTCAGAATATTCTTCTGAGGCCCATATTACACCATACGCATAGATTTTTGTCATGGCCATTTAGGCATTTATTTGTTGATTTTCTTATGTTTAATCTGTGCATCATTTTAGTAGAGGAAAAATACAGCATTTGCAATATCTCCCCCCGTAGGACAGTCAGCCATTGATTTCTGGCATGGAAAATATCCCTGTGTGGGTGGGCATGTAACAGAATTTCAATCTCTCAGTCTGACTCTTAAGTTAACAATGTTAGGTTAACAATTGGCAAAAAATTAATCTTGATACCAGTGGGAAAAAAAAGGCCACTACAAAATAAAAGATAATATTCTTAGGCCTGTTCATTACATCATTCCCTCAGGGAAAGTACAGAGTACTTGACAATAAACCCAGCATCAGCAACAGTAACACAAATGATGCATCCCGTTGAGTTTGTGGTTTTATTTTTAATAGACTATTTCAGGTGAAAGTTTTAAGCCTGTGTCTCCATCATGATTTTACAAGGTGGTAATTTTTCCCATGTTCTGTTCTGTTCAAAACTAAATGTTCATTATTTCCAGATGTTTTACTAATTTTGCATATGGAGAAACTTAATTCTCTGCTAATTAACAAGCTATTCCCCGTCAACAAAATGTGTATCAGTGTTATCTCCTCAGTCAGGGGTGGGTTGCTCATCAGGGGACACTGATAAGTCTAACGCATTTTGATTACCATAACTGGGGAACTACCTAATGTGTAGCGTCCACAGATTCCACTCAATGTTCTGTAATGCACAAGCAACCCCCACAGGGAAACCTAACCCAAACCAGCTTATATCTAAAAGTAAATAAATGTGTCATTTAAGAAAGTCTGCTTTTGCCAGGTGCCAGTGGCTCATACCTGTCATCCTAGCTACTAGCTACTCAGAGAGCTGAGATATGAAGATCACACTTCAAAGCCCAACTGGGCAGGAAAGTTTGTGAGACTCCTATCTCCAATAAAAACTACCAAAAAAAAAGCCAAAAAATGGAGCTGTGCCTCAAGTGGTAGAGCAATAACCTTGAACAAAAGAAGCTCAGGGACAGTGCCCAGGCCTTGAGTTCAAGCTCTAGGATTGGTATGTGCAAGCTCTCTCTCTCTGTCTCTCTGTCTCTCTCTGTCTGTCTCTCTGTCTATCTCTGTCTCTCTCTGTCTCTCTCTGTCACACACACGCGCACACGTGCACATGCGCGCGCACGCACAAATCCTGCTATATATTGCTTCCATTTCCAAAGAACAAGTAATCATGTGATATGAAGGAGTTGTTTCCTCAAGATTATGCAATTGCAGTGACCTGTTCCTTTGTCTTTTCAATGGCTTCCCTTGTGATTGAGTTTATATTTATATAATTCTTTCTTTTCCTTTTAAGCACTTAAATACAAATCCAATCGTACAAATAGGAAAATCATCCTCTTACTCATTGCTGGAGTGGTACTCACCGCAATTGTTATTGTTGGAGCCATTCTCTTCATCCCAGGTAAGCTATATAGGTATTTGAGGAATGAGGGATTCAGGACTAATGTCAGAGGTCCTTCCAAGAGGGAATTATAACAGGTTATGGCAAGTAGGTTGGCTTCAAATGATAGAAATCATCTCATTGCTCTGGAAGCCCTAAGTGAATTAACAGCCATCAGGATCTCACCCCTCTCTGTGATCTAAGGGCCAAACTATTCTGCAGCTTCTAGCTTCAGATATATGCAGACAGTCTGAACATTACTTAGTGGTGACAGCAGAGCTTCCTCTCTGCTCTGTGGTCACACTGTCTCCTCTTCTCCTCTGCTTTTTTGTGCACCTGTGTCCAATCTCCCTCTGTCTCTCATTCACAAGGTCATTTGTCACTGGGAGAGGGCTACCATTTAATTTAGAGTAAGTCCTCCTTCAGGATCCTAAGTCAAAACTTTTAGCATGTGATGCAAGTTTTGCCATGTAAGGTAATATTTCTGGTGTCTAATCAGTGGGAGAAATGAATATCCTTAGGACTGACATGCAACCCATTATAGAGGCAAACTTCATTGTCCAAGATGTGGAAATGGGAAAGACCACGGGAGGTGGGGGATGGAAGTGTGAGTGGGAAACAAGGGAAGGAACACCTGAAAGAAAGGGAAAGACAAGCTGTGATTTCAAGTAGTAGGATCCCTGAGAATAGCACTGAGACTGAAGTGTAACTGTAGTGGTTAGGAACATAAATCTAACAGCTGTATTTGCATCTGCATTTGGTGAGGACCTGGGGAGGAGATGAAATCAGAAGACAGCTTGAAAGAGCAATGATTTCACTTTGGGACAGATTGAATATCACAAAGGAAGGAAATGGTAAAAGATGACTAAGGCTTGTCATCTGGAATTCTTGAAGGTTAGGAAGGAGGTAGCGCTATCCAAGGGCTCAACGTGAAAATTCATTTGGTCTTAAGTCATTGAAAATAATTGCTCATCCTGTGGAAATTTTGGAGCAGTTTTAAGTCTTTCATAGCTTATAATTCTAGTACTGAGATGAACTAATCAGTCAAATACCTGAACTTGACAAAGAAGTATGTAAGAAAATATGGTAAATATTCTTATTTATTAACAGGAGAATATTCAGTAAAGAATGCATCTGGCCTTGGTCTCATTGTAATTTCTACCGGAATAGTATTAATATTACTTCAGTACAATGTGTTTATGGCAGGTGAGTATCTTAAGTATCTTACAGCATGATTTTGCCTACCTTTTTATTTTAAAATGGCACTCAGTGAAAATGTTTTTGTGTATTTTTTTTAGTAACTTAACAGAAGCTGGTTTAAAGATTGTCTATTATATCCTTAGTGGAATTTCCCATACAGATTGGTTTTAAGGTTATCACAATATTCAAGACAGTTAATTATTTTACAGAAAACAATTTTCCTACATATTGATGCCATTTGGCATAACTTTAAAGTTTGCTATGTAGTGTTGAATGGTTATTACATCACTTTTGTAGTTTTTATTTTTTGGGGGGGGGTCTGGTTGTGGGGCCTGAACTCTGGGCCTGGGCGCTGTCCCTCAGCTCTTCAGCTCAAGGCTAGCGCTCTACCACTTGAGCCACAGAGCCACTTCTGGCTTTTTTTCTTTTTGCTTATGTGGTGCTGGGGAATTGAACCCAGGGCCTCAGGCATGCAAGGCAAGTACTCTACCACTGAGCCACCTTCCCAGCCCCTCACTTTTGTAGTTATAAGTAGATGTTAAAAGCACTCTTTTAGGGGGTTAGTTTTATCAAAATACAAAGACACTATAAGGAAATAACCACAGTGAAAGTTCCTTAGACAATATGTGTTCTTTTTTTTAAAGCATGTTTTCTTTTTCTGCTTATTCTCTATAGAAGACTCGTTCTACAAGATGGGTGATAAATCACAAAAAGTAGAAACATTTTTCAGTTATTGGAAAATCTTGACACTGCCTTTAAAAGATAGTATAAAGCCAGGTGCTGGTGGCTCATGCTTGTAATCCTAGCTACTCAAGAGGCTGAGATCTGAGGATCATCATTCAAAGCCAGCCGAGGCAGTGAAGTCTGTAGGAATCTTATCATCAGAAAACCAAAAGTGAGGCTGTGGCTCAAAGTGGTATAGTGCTAGCCTTGAGCAAAAAAGAGCTCAGGGACGGCGCCCAGGCCCTGAGTTAAAGTCCCATAACTGATGACAAAAAAGAGATGGTATGAATATCTTATCTGTAATCAATATTATGATCTTTGAATTATAAGAACAAACACCCAGCATATTTGTTGTTACTATCAAAGAATCCCACTTAATAGTGGGTCTTAGAGTCTTTATGTAGCTTGCTGTCCTATCAATTTACGATAAGATCACAGATCTTCCAGGTGCACAAAATAGCAGTCATGGTGTTCATAATCACATTTGTTAATAACTCCCTCCCCCAGACCAACTTTGTGAGCTGGAGGAGAAGCCAGGGTCATCAGCCCTTCATGAAAGAAAATACACAAACATGGTCAATGCAGCATTTTGTTCTCTAATCCGGGCAAAAACTGCTTGTCCTGCTCAGTTAACTGTGACAGTAAAAGGCTGCAGGAGTATAACTGGAGCAGACACTTGATTAGAAGGGCTAGGGCACTGGAACAACCTTTACTATCTGACAAGAACCTGCAGCCAGCGTTTGGCTATAAGATCTTACCTTGATTGGCACAGAGGCTAGCAGGAGTGACTGCTTCATCGATATTCCCTTCGTGCTTCGCTAATGTTCTTTTCCTTCCCACAGCTTTTGGGATGACCTCCTTCACCATTGCTATATTGATCACTCAGGTGCTGGGCTGTGTGCTTGCTATGGTTGGACTGTGTCTTTGTATGTTTGGTAAGAGTCACGTTCTTCTGCAGGCCCAATTTGGATTTCTGTTGGATAATGTTTTCCCTTTTTTTTTTCTCCCTTGTTCTTCTTTTGAGAGCAGTTTTACTTGCACAGCTAACCTGGATTTCTGTACTCTCCCACCCCTTCCTTTCACAAACCCCACACAGCCATAGCCTCCCATAACGTCTCACACCAGACTGGTACATTTGTTTTAACCAATAAGTCAAGACGGAACCATTATATGTCAGTGACAGATCTATAATGACACATACAACACTCCCCTCCCACCCCCACCATGGTCAAATCATACAGAATAGATTCGCTACCCTGACACTCCTGTGTCCCACTTTTATCTCTGTCTCTCCTTCCAAACCCCTGGCAACACTGACCTATTTACAGTCCCTATACAGTTTTACATTTTCCAACATGTCTCAAAGTTGGACTCATATTGTCCATATGAGCTTTTTATGGGCTTCTTTTACTTAGAAATAATCTCAGTTCCTCCATGTCTTTTTCACATCGTGATTGCTCCCATGCTTTGTAGTGCTGAATAATCTTCTACTATAGGAAGCTGCCATCTTTTTTTATGCATTCGCCTATTGCAGAATGTCCTGGTGATTTTCAGTTTCTTGTGAGTGCGAATAAAGCATTCATAAACATCCATCCACAAGTTTTTATGTGTACATGGATTTTCAACTCATTTGGGGAAATCCCAAACACTGTAATTTCTTAATGCTGTGCCAAACACCATTAGTCTTGCAGTAAACTACCAAACTCCATTTGCTACTACCACTAATGAGTGCAAATTCTGTTTCTTCACACATTTTGCAGAATTTGGTGTGGTGGACTTTTCTGTCTTAATTCATTCCCCCCCAGAGAGAGCAGCAGTTTCTACCTTGCTTGAAGAATGTGGGCAATATTTGGCTTGTGAGTTGATTGTTCTAACAGCCAAACTGTTATTCCTGTAATTACAGAAGAACTTTTACAGTACCACGCTCCAGTTGATTGGAGGATTAGATTTTGTACACCATTGTCCACTTTATTGTCCTGGTACAGTAAGTTGATTCAGGAGCAGAAAGACTTACTTTTTATAATATGGAATTATTTCACTGAAGTTAATAATGGATATAATTTTTATTATCTGTAGATGTAAAGCATTTTTATTTATTGATCATTAGGACACAGCTTCCTCTAATTCTTAAAGCTTGATACATGCTTGGATTAGCTCAGTAGGGAAGCTAGCACTTGCCTAACGTGGGAGAGGCCCTGGTTTCAATCCCTAGGACCACAAAAAAATAAACAAAAACAAAAAACTATTGATATGAGTTTTTGTTGATACCATTAAAACATTCTATAGGCACTTCTAATGGGAGATTTCATTTGTTTCTACAGCATGTGTACCAGTGCATGGCCCACTATTGATTTCAGGTTTGGGCATCATAGCTCTAGCAGAATTACTTGGACTAGTTTATATGAAGTTTGTGGGTAAGTCAAAATTATTTTTGCTATCCTTTGCTGAGAATTTCAGATATATAACTTAGAAAATACTTTTAGTAGGTTTTTCCAATTTAAACCCAAAGAAATGTATTAATAGCTTTAACAATAAGAAATAAGTCAGAATAGAGTTCATAAAATAGGGTAATGAATAAAATAAATAAGTAAAAGAGGCTCATGAATTAATGAAAAGTCCAAATTATAAGCTATCTTAAAAGAAATTGAATGTAGGCTTGGTGATGCACATCTGTAATCCTAGCAACTCAGGAGCTGGAGATTAGGAAAGATCATGGGTCTAAGGCCAGGCAGGAGAAAAAGGTTAACAAAACCCTATCTCAGCAAATAAAGCAGACATAGTAGTATGTCCCTGTAATCCAAGCCATATGCTTCAGAAAATGGTGGTCTGAGGCTGGCCCAAGCACAAGTGAATAATCCTAGATGAAAAATAACTAAAACAAATAGGGTTAGCAGTGTGGTTCTACCTGAGTTCAAACTCAGTACCACCAAAACAAAAAACAACAAAAATGAAATAAAAACAAATAAACATAGAAGCCAAAACAACAACCATAAACTGAAGAAAAAGGTTGGCTTTGTGTTTTTGAGTGTATAGAATTTTTCATGCTAAGTTCGGGGACCAGTCTTGGGAGAGAGAGTTCTTGAGTCAACGAGTGTTTAGGATCTTGTCAATCTAGGCATACTGTGAGAATTTTGTTTCCTGTATCACATTATTTCCAAGTTTAAATTTGTAGCCTTCATTATAATTTTAAAGAATATGACTGTGACTTGCACTTCCTGTGGGCTTTTTGTTTTTAAGGTTTAGTCCTTTTCGAAGGTTTCATTTTAATTACTAGAAACGAGTCTTTAATGTCTTTTTTTTTCTATTTTTGTGGGAGAGCTTGGCAGAGCCAATTTCTCACTTTCTTTCCTTTTACGTAGTTCAAACATAACACCATAAGAAGATAGAAATTGGACAGTAAAATCTGTCATTTTTGCTAACTTAAAGAGCACTGACCTACAGTGCATGAGTTTAAAGCAAAGTTAAAACCAATATAGTAAAAAATAATAATAAGATTTTACACTTTGGAAGTCAATTCTTCCTAAGTGTGGTATTAACTTCATTATCTCCAACCCTAGAATTCTGTTAGTTATCAAATAACGAATTTTTGCATAGCTTTATTTTTGAGTATATAGAGAGAAGTACATGCTTTTTCTAGTGTCTGAAGCTATTATGTTGTCATATGTAACATGTTCCCAACAATATGGTTCAGGAATCTCTCTTCAAAATATTTTATGAAGTAAACTGAACTCTAAAGCAAACTCCATCATTCACTAGAATAATGAAAAGTCACAAGTACATGAAGTTATTTATAAAATCCATTTCTGGCTTATCTTGCTGTGTATTTCTGAACTTTACTGTGTGTTTCTAAAAATTAATGGAAAAACTGAATTATTGTAGTTGAGAAATTTCTATAGACTTTCAAAGAGATTTTACCTTTGTTTCTGAACGTCATCTCTTGACTGATACTTCAATTTGATTCTGTTACCTATTTCCTTCCTTTAATTCAGGCTTATTAGATAAACAATTAAACCGCTCAACCAACAATCTTAAGTACCTTGAGTGGATGTGTTCCTGAGTCTTAGTTGCTGCTCAGTGAAAATTCCTAATTTCATGTCACAGAAGTCCTTAAAACACAGCTAAGACATCTGGAGCAGAGTGGCATTCCATGGTAGTGACGAGAGTCTTGAATGCTGAATAGGTTCTATTTCCGTCGACTCTCCCAATCAGCCTGTGTCTGGTCTGGAAGGACGATGCTGCTGATTTGGTTGCTCCCCTGAATACCTAAAAGCAGTATGTGACCTGCAGGGTTTGTATAGCTGATGAAGCAGGATGAGACCTATCTGACTGATGGTCGGAATCCGGGTCATTTTTCCTCATTATTTGGAATGCCTCTCCTTTATTTACCTGCCTCCTCATGCCTTCCATGTCTGGCAAAGAATGATGTTAGCACAGTGGACCATCAGGGCTGAGAATATGTTTGCCCTTCACCTTGCTCCTTGACTTTGAGAGACCTCCTCTATCATTTGCATCCCTGAGGAGCCTGAAACTTACACTGTGGCTTCAAGTGTTACTGTTCAAAATGAAAATAAATGAAAGCACTAGAAGTACACTTCCCTAGTTGTTTTTCTTTATCATGGCTTTAATATCTATTATATATATGATATGTAAGTTAATTCTTAGTCTACTATTACTGACATTTTTGAGAATATATCTAAATTAACTTTTCAAATCAACTTGTCTGATGCCAGAGTGCAGAGAGATGCCTTCGGTCAGTTGAAAGGTGAGAAGAGAACAGGTACAGGAAATCTGCTCTTTAGGTAATGTGGTAGACTAGGAAAATTCATGTGCTTGCTTCTCTGATCTGACGGTGCAAATATAAACATGTAACATTAAGATCGCAAATTTGAGCTTTGTACCAGGAAGTAAAAGTTGTAAGTACTTCCAAAATAATTTATACTCATTGCAGAGAGGATGCGGAAATCCATGTGCCTTGATTTAAATATAACAAAATTCTGAGGTTTTTTTTTTTATTTATTAAAGAAACCTAGATCTCTCCTTGAAGTGAGTTAAAGAGAGTTTAGGATCCAGATATCCAATGAGAATTTTTAAGTTTTACATTTCTCATTTCTTCTAAGTAAAATTTTATAGTCTTAATTGTAATTTTAAAGAGTAGGACTTTGACTTTCACTTCCTGTGGCCTCCTTTTTTCTTAATTGTATTGCCTCTTGTTTTCTTTCTTACTAGAAATGTTCTAATTTTACACAGTGAATTAAGGGGCTGGGCAAAACGTAATGTGTGAGCGTATAAATGACTAAAGTGTTCTGTGAATTGGGCTTGTTATTTATATAGGGTGTTTATATAGATTGTTGAGTTAATATTTGTTCATCCTTCAAGACATTGCCAGTTAGTTCAGGTAACAGCTGACAGTAATATTTCCATATAGTCACCTGATTAGCAGTGAGAACCCTATTTACAACATCTCAGATACTTTAGAATGACACAGAAGCAGGGGAAAAATATGCACATATGTTGTGTATATATGCATTTATATATTTTTCTTGCCTATTGTTAATGACAAGTATATATGATTATCACTTTGGGCTAGCCAAAGGTGACATTCTCTGTGGTTGAGTTGGAACTTAGAAGCTATCCTTCTTATAGTGTTAGGGGGAACGGGAGTTTGCATGGTTGTTCTTCATAATAGTTGTGATAAACACATCGGTAACTTTAAAAATGTCTATAAAATATTGATCTCTGACCCTTCCTATTACCAACCAGAAATTTAGATAGCTATTCAGTTCTCGTTTCCAGGCCTGGTTAGCTGAAGTTGTATTAACATGGAAGTAACTGTTTTGATGGTGCCTAACTATGCTCTAACTCAGTTGGTCTATTCATTAGCAAGCTAAATGTGAGATGTAACCCATGTCACCCTCTCCCACCTCTAAAGGAGTTTGTGTTTGTGTTCAATACAAGGAACAAACCATTCCCCAATGCATTCTCAGTGAGGGCTGTTCATCTAAAGCCACCCATAGCCCTAACAGAGACCGAGATCTCCCCAGGGCAGGGACATACACGGGCCTCGCAATGTGGGACAGAACAGTGGGGAGTTGGGAGAGGCCAGCACCCTGTCAGGACCGCATGGTCAGGTTGACCTGTTTCTCTCGCTGGTTGTTGCTTTTCTGGCAGTTGTGGTTACTGAGTCCTGCTTTGATTCTTCACCAGGAAGGCAGAGTAGGCAGCTAGCTTAGCCTCTCCACTTTGTCTCTGTCTTTTCTCCTCTTCAGGTCTTCTCACCAACAAAGGTCTTTCTTATCTCTATTTCTCAGCTCCCAGCACCACTTGCTTCCTTCCTGTTCCTTCTGCACCTTCTCTTCCTGTCACCAGTTGTCTAGCCTTCACTCTTTTTCTCCTCTTAAGATCCCAGGTTCCTGTTAAGAAGCCTGATCAAGGTAGTCCATAGACTGTCTGGCTTTGGGTCAGAGCCTACCCCATTTCTCATCAGTTCTAGAAGCTTCATGAATGGTGGGAGTGATAGGAGGCAAACAATATCAACAACAACAACAGAAAGTAGTCCTGGGCCTTTTTTAGTCTGAACAAGCCACCTGGGTGTCTGCCAGTTTGTTACAGTAGAACTTAGTAAACATAATGTATTTTCTTTCCTAGCTTCATGAGTTCAATTTGCATGACTTAAAAGTGATTCTGCTTTTGCTCCTATTCCTTGTTTAGTGATATTATATATTCTCTTGTTCATATTTGCATGTTTCTTCTTTAATATTTTAATAGGGTTTCTTGAACTAAAAGAGATGATAGGGTAGGAAGATTCTGCATAGCAAAAGAATCTTAAGCTGGACAGGCTGGCTCATCCCTGTAATCTCAGCCATTACAGATATAGATATCAGCAGAGATAGACATTAGAGAGATAGACATCAAAGGCAGTCTGGGCAAAATGTTAGTAAAACCCCATTTCTATTAAGATACTGTCCATGGTGTTTATATCTAGAATCCCAAGTGGGATAGAAGGATGGAAGTCTAAGGCTGGCCTGGGTTAAAAAAAAAAAACAAAACACAAGAGCTTATCTGAAAGATAGCAAAAGCAAAAAGGGCTGGGAGAGACCCAAGTGCTAATATGTTTTCCTAGGAAGTCCAAAGCCAGGAGTTAAAACCCCAGTGCTTCCAAAAAGGAAAGATAAATTATTTTCTTGTCTGTAGGACTCTGATCTGTTCATTAAGGACTCTTCAGTGGCTCAGGAGCCACATCTTAGTCTTACAAGGAAGTAATCTCTTCTTTCCTACACAGTTAGAGTAGTTCTTTTGTTACCTGTATTATGCCCTGTATTCCTTCATCTTCATTGATTTAATCCATTGAAAAGCAGTAAAAGGAAAACTCAGAGAGCTAAGGAGGAAGGCACAGAAGACTTGGTTGTGGCTGTGCTGGATGCATGAGAGAACTCTTGAAACACAGAGGATCTGATACCTAATTTAGTTTGTTAGCTTTCCAGAGCTTTGACAACTAGAAAGAGAAAAGAAAAAAGGCTGGGCCACCAGAAACATGAGCAGTGCGGTCATGAAGCAGTGGGGACGAGGGTAGGAGAGAGAGGTCAGTTATTGCTACTTTCTGACCATATCCAGGTAGAGTGGAATAGGGAGAGATGCAAAGTACATCTGAGTGTACTTTGCAGGTAACAAGCAGCTGATTATAGTAAAGAATATTGTTTACTTCTGAGTAGCTACTCAAAGCAAGAATTCCTTCAGTGGAGTCTCTGGTACCCTCTAGTCTTTGCCCTGAGTATTTTATGTTAAAATCAAATGTTATATTGTCTTAATCACTTTTATTCATTAAATTTTTGTTCTTATTTACATCAGCTTCCAATCAGAGAACTATACAACCTCCAAGGGTAAGTTCAAATTTATGAAATGAATTGAAAATGATCGCTTGATGGAGGAGAGTGAGAATTGGTCATAAATGAATTGAGAATGATTGCTTGATGGATCCGAATGAAGATTGTTCATTGGAATATTGAACTGTTCCTCTCTCTGCGTAGTGTAAGATCAGATTAAGATAGTATTGAAGACATTTCTTGACCTTTACATGAATGAGTCCAATTCTCCTTTAAAACTTAGGATTGCTTATTTAAGTATTAGCGGAATGGGATGAGTAATTCCTTAAGAATTTAGCCACTTCTCATGGGCAGGACTGAAATTTAGAAGTAGGAATAATGCCAATATATTGCCTCATGTGTGGGATTTACTTTATGTAAATACGAATGAGAATTTCAGGATTGACAGTGAGGAAGAAAGCTTTTTATACTAAGTTGACCTCACAAAAAATTGTAGTCTATAAAATAAGCATAAACATTGCTAATTGTTCTGAATTATGATTCATCTCCCACTCCCATTTTGTAAACATGTTTCTCCCTGAAAACTTCTCTGCATATTTTACTGTTCTTTGAATACCTCGCTGAGACAGTTCTAAGAAAAGGAGCAAATTGAGGAGAGGATAAATGAAGAGAAAAGGTCATTATAAATATAGACACATCACAGTGACAACCTTAAGAGCTATATTACACTGACGGGGACTATGTTCTATTTGGCTTCCTAGAAATGATTGGTAATAGACGTGTCGGGAAGCAGCCCTGAGTCTGTGGCAGGAAGTGCCTCTGAGTCTCTAGAAAGCCACAGAGGGCACACCCAGTGGGCAGGTTGAGGCAGGCTGCTGAGTGTCACCTCACGGGTTTGCTGTGGATTGGTGCCATGGCTATATTATGCAGACAGCAGTTCATACAGTGCCGTAGAGATAACCAATCCGCTGAACCTTTAGACCTAACAATACTCTTTTCCTCTTTCTGAGCTCAGTTTGCATAACTTGAAAATGATTCTGCTTTGCTCTACTCCTTATTTAACGGATATGTACTCTGTTGCTGTTTGCCTGTTAGCACTTTTATTTTGAAGGATTAAGTTAAGATTTCTTCAACAGAGAGGAAGGTAGGATGGGAAATTCTACATAGAATATGAAGAGAATGATACAGTCATTATTAAACTATTAAATAGTTTAAGACCAGCTTGGTTTCAGCCTTTATTTCCTTATTTGTTTTATTATAGGGTTCTGCTTACTATAGAGTTTATATGTTAGTATATATATATATTTACATATATATGTATATATATAACTTTTAGCATTAAAAAGATATGTTACAAATTATGTTTTTACATAAATATATTTTAAATATTTTCCAGAAAGCTGTAGAGGAACCCCTTAATGGTATGTGATATTATAAACATTACATTTTTTTCTTGATCCTATATCAGATCATAATTTGAACTGGCCCTCAAAGAAGTTACAATGCTCACCTATGCCTTGGGGAGAATCTAGTTGGGAGTTTCTTAAAAAAAAATTTAACCTATTTTTGATTATTCATCAAGAATTAGAAATACTGGTTTTATAATGTTATCAGCTCTGGGGAAAATACAGTTTTGTATCCTGAGAGTAATTACTAACCCTAGCCCAGTGCTTATTTGATCCAGGAGACCTTTGTATTTTATATTGGCCAGGAGATAAGTAAGGCAGGGCATCCTGAGGAAGGAAGTCTCAGTTCCTTCCAAGTTTCTCATTTGTAAATTCTAGACTGAAACAGACTGTCCCACAGAGCAAAACCAATGTGCTTCACTTTCTGTCCATGCAAATCTAAATCTGCATTTCCAGCTAAGCATGTTTCCTTTGTGGCTACTATGAATGTGATCCATAGAAATGCTTCATAATAAAGTAGCCTGCAAATGAATTTTGTTTTAGAATTGTGGGATAGTTGGCATTACATGCTGCTGCTTATGTTTGTTTATTTTGGATGTGATCTCTAATCACAGAACCTTACTAACTGCCTTTTTGGCTTGTTACTAATCCTTAGCATTTAAAGAATCAAAAGGAATGATGAACGATGGTAAGTAGAAACTGCACCTATGATTATTGACTGGTTGAAATAATGGCATTGGAAAGAAAGCAAAAAGCTCCTTGAATGTGTGACTTGAAAGGAACACTGTCAAATCATAAATGTTCACATTTCCTAAAAGTTGGAAAACGCTTTGATTGTAAATTGGGTAAGACTGTACTATACAAATGAGACTCTCCAGTTCTCAGTCACCCAGTAGAGAACTGCACTGTGGGTAAAACATTTTTTGGAGTGGGACTGGCTTTAAAATGCTTTCTGGAAGGCACATAGATTATCTGGCACCATCAGGAAGCAGTGGCTCACACCTGGCTACTCAGGAGCTGGAGATCTGAGGATCATGACTCAAAGCCAGACAGGGCAGAAAGACTGTTATCTTCAATGAATCACAAAAAAAACTAAATAGATCTGTGGTTCAAGTGGTAGAACGTTAGCTTGGATGAAAAAGCTCAAGGATAGCACCCAGGCTTTGAGTTCAAGTTCCAGTACTAGGTTAACAAAAAAAGATAATCTGTCATCAGTCTTTATCATTTGATAGAGTTTCTTCTGCCTTGGTAACGTCCTGTCTGCTCTCTATTTTCCCAAGCAGGAACTTGGTTGATGAAAGGGAAAGAGAGAGATTCAATTCTAAGATACTTAGTTTGGCTAACATTCATGTGGATGTTTATGTTAACATGCAATGATTCTTTAGATCCACTGGCATTTGGTTAACTTATGCTTGGAAGTTTTGTCTCATTTTCAAAATTTCCTTTATACCCCAGACATCGAGTGGTTAGTTATGCCTTGCTCCTCTAAACATTTATCTTTTTGTTTTTACTCTTGCAAAGTTTGTGCTCACCTCTTTAACACAGTGAAACATTGAGCTCAAGAGGCTTTGTCCTCCAGAGTACAATTAATTTTTGCATAAGTTTCAAAACACTTGGATCTAAATGTAAAACAATGTTCAGGCTTGGTTGGGGAGTCACAGCATGATCCCATGTTTCTAAGTCTGTAAATGCACGTTTTGTTATTCAAGCTACTGCATTCTAAAAAATAAAAGGGTGCTTAGTGAAGATAAATTGAAAATGTTTTAAAGTATTGTTTCCTAGAATTACAGCATGGCTTATGCATATTTACTTCCGGCATCCTATTTTTCAATTTCTTGGTTCTTTCTCCTATGGTAGTGAGAGTTTTCTGTAGATGTGTGAGGAAACGGCTCCTTTTTCAGAAAAACACTACAAGAACCTTGAGTGTCTCTTCCTTTGTTAATTTACCTTGATGTGACTTTCTGTACATTTTTTTTGAACCACTACATAAGGAGGTCTAATAAAGCTGTTTTGCCTTAAATTTTTGTGTCTTTATAACATTTAAAGTCTATGATGACCTTTGAGATGGCCTTGATTTGGCTAATCTTTAGCTGGCCTGAATTTAGTTTTTAAATATCTGTATGTTGGGCTGTTTCTCCTGACAGCTGCTTGGTGCTCATAGTGCATCTGTTGAGTTAATCAGTGAGGTTCAGATTACCTCCCTGGGTGCTTTCTCTCTCACCTCTACCTAATCATATGTCTGTTTTATGTATATTAACTGTCTGTGATAAAAATGTTACTCAAAGGTCAGTATCTTTTGCTTTGGAAAATTATCATCTCAGCTTTTCCTCGGCATACCTAACAAGCCAACATTGTCAGACTGTTGATTTTTCACTTTGCTTGGCATTGACATTTTACAAAACCAAAAAGGCTAATGATTTGAATGGTTTCTGTCTTAGATCATTGCAGATATATGTTTTAAAACATTTTAGATACAGTTTCTGAAACAATTCCAGATTTTAAAAATGTATCCATTTCTTAATTTGTAGAACAGCATGAACATTGACAGTAATCCATTTCTCCACTTTCCAGAATAACTGAAGTGAAGTGGTGGACTCTGTTTGGAAGCCGTAAATGTGAAGGAATACAATTATGTTTAAGCACCATGGCCTTGATGAGTCACTGTTGAAAAGAAGAAAACAAAACAGTAACTGGTTTTCATCAATGAGAGAGCATTGATAAGTCATTTATCCTTAAATGATTATTACAATTGTTTATATTCAAAGAAACTGTCATTTAGTTAATAAAAGAATTATGATCCGTGTTGTGTGCCCAATTGATATCCAGTTTTATGATACTTTTATTCAATTAGGGGCAAAAGTAGATAAGGCAACTTCCAAGAATGATGTCCTTCAGATCCTGGGGTCTCTAGACTCAAGGTTTAAATTGGATTTGCCTAGGAATTACTTAGCACTGACCTGGTGGCTATCCAGAGATCTCCTTGAAAAAGAGTGGCTCTTATCAAGCCTTTGTGAAACTCAGGTTCCCAGCAGCTCTGGCTGAATAATGTTGTCTGGGTGAGGGGAATAGTGACTTCAATAAAGATGAGAATTAGCTTGGGAACACCTTGTATGGCACCTGGGTGTGCTGTGATGCTGTTGGAGATAGTAGTCTTCATTCTTGGGGGTTGCCATTCACACATTCCCCCTTTGACATTCAGTGTCCTTCCCAGATTCAGGATACTTCTGTTGGTGGATGTGGTTTCCTTTGATTCACACAACCCTTTGAACCCTGTCTTGTTGTCCTGTTACTTGCTTCTGCTGTATAAGATGTAGCACTTTTTTTTTTCTTCTTTGAACATGGTCCAGTGATGCACTGGCATCCTTGCAGAAAGGAGCTAGCTTGTTCTCAGAGCACTGTGTTCATCCTTTTCAGCAAAAAATAGCTATGGTTGTAACATATGTATTCCCTTCCTCTGATTTTGAAGGCAAAAAAAAAAAAATTCTACAGTGTTTCTTCACTTCTTTTCTGATCGGAGGCATGACAAAGCAAGACTGAAATCCGAACCCTGCGTATCCTCTGCATGGCAACATAATGTGTGTCTCCACCAGGCCTCAGGCCAGCCCTGGGAAGGTGGCTTCACTCTCGTTGTGTCTCTGTTGCATGATGAACACTCATCCCCTTCCTCCTGTATCCCACCTCTTGCTTCCCCCTCCCAAGGTTGAAAAGTAAAACAAAACCACCATTATTTCCTACCCCACTTAGAAGAAAATCAGCGTTCTGACCGTTGTGATTGCCTGGAGTACTTTAGATTATTAGCACTTGTTTTTTACCTTGTTTGTGGGTGTGTGTTTGTATGTGCACATGTATAAGATAGGCACAGGCATCTTCTGTATGGACGGAAGTGGCAAACGTACAGGAGAGCAGATGCTAACTTCGTGCTTTTAATAAATACATTTAAACACAAAGATCCTTATTGGGTGGAAGTATATTTGATGCACAAATATTTGATCTCTTAAAACTTTAAAAAAATGTCTAGGAAATTTGTCACGCTTTTTGACTGCTCACCAACACCCTCTAAAAATACTAGCAATTGTTCCTGTTTGTGTAATGAGATATTCATATTTGTGGTTAAGTGGACCACAGAACAATGTTATTTTTTAATCCATTGAATGTTTCCATGTGCCTCTTGTATGCCAAACTTACCGTCATATTTCATGTGGGACCAAGTGGTTTGCCTAGGGCAAACCTCAACTTAAGACCTGCTAGGCCTCTCAGAAAACTGAACACATTATCAAGACAGCTTTTCTTGGAGAAAAAAAAATATATATATATGTAAAAGTTCCCTGAGTATGTAACTCTCCAAAATATTAGCATATGGAGAGGGAGCTGTATTACTTTATACAAATCTGATGGCTCCTGCTGCTCTTTTTCCTTCTGAAAATATTTACACTTTCCTAATATTGTTTGTTACTTTAGAAGTCAGTTTTGATGAAAGGAGGGGGGGCAACAGATGGACTTGAAAAAGCTCCAAATTCCTAGTCTCTATTAAGAAAGGTATGAAAACCTTTAGAGTCAGATTTTTTATGAACTGAAGTTGTACATTTTAATACACAGTAAAGTCTTTATTTGGGTTCAGTCGTGGGGGTCTGACCATCTGTTCTGATCACCTTGAGGCTGTACCTTTTGGAAGCGTTCACTGCCCTAGACTATGCCACCAGAGGTAGCAGAGAAAGTGCCATGTGAAATCAACTCTTGCTCCTGTTAGCTTCTCTGGATAAGGAACCACGGCAACAAGAGACCTCTTGCCTGGGCATCATTGGGCCAGTTCACTCTCTTTAAATCAGACTTACAATGACTGCCAATTCTAGTCAGATCAAATTTAAATTGCTAACAGTGTTTTGAGCATCAGATATCCATTTTGCCCCATAATATACTTTTCAGTCTCTGATACCAGTTTGGGCTGTCATCTCCTCCATTCAGTTTTTATTTATTACACTTTTTCCATTTGTACAACAGTACAGAGTGATACCATTTGTCACTTTCTGCAGCAACCTTTCCAGCCTTTTGGAGCAAATCACATTTTTTCTCCAGCCCTTTCTCCCCCACTGACTGTCCTTTGCAGTCTGTCCACATTTGTCTAGTGCTCTCTTTCATCTCTCCCTTACCATTCCCTGGTACATCATATATCTCTGCTTAGCTTTATTGGGTTTTTGTCTTGCTCTTCATACTGGGTTTTAAGGTTCTTTCTACAGCAAGAGCTCCTCTCCCCCACCCCCCTGCTCCTTTTCTTCTCTCTTCTTGCCGTGTTATACATACCTTAGACACTCAATACATAAATATGATGACTGAGAATTGGCTGTGTTTAGATTTTTCACTATTTTTTCATAGGGTGAGCTAGAGAGTATTCTTTTGACAAATATTACAAGTTTTGAAAACATTAAAAGGTAATGATTTTTTAAGCTGGAAATTCTAGGTTCATTCTGTTTAAGTTCTTAAAATGTCAGAATTAACATAATGGGGCTATCTCATAATAAAGAGTATTGCTCTTTTTAAGACATGATAATCAATTTAGTAAGTGACCAACCAAATTGTGATTTCAGCTGATAAAGCTCAAGAAGTGATGTTTATTCCTGCATTTCATTAATAAAAATTAAACTTGTCACCTCTAGACTTGTCTTGTCTTGTAAAAGGGTAATAAATAGTGGTCAGTGGTACAGAAATGGAGGTACAACCCCTTTACTTGCCTGTTGTTGGAAAGCGGAGAAGGAATTGTCTGGCAACTCTTTCTTTTTTTTTTTTAGTATATATTTTTTATTGTAACGATACTGTACAGAGGGGTTACAGTTATATGAGTAAGGTAATGAGTACATTTCCTATCAAGCATTGTTACCTCCTCCTTTGTTTTTCTTTTTGTTGTATATTCTGTCTGAAGAATCATAGAAATACAAGTTTTACATTTGTGTCATATTCAAAGTCACTTAACTGACATCATCCATTGGGGGTCCCTTGTACGTCATTTTCAGTGGCAAATAGGGATGATCCAAGTTAACTTTGAAGAGATGGACAGTATCCAGGAAGTGTTCCTGCCTTTAACTTAGATAGCTCTTTAATTATGATCTAGTCATTTGAAAGAAAGAACAAGAACATGTTTGGAATAAGCTGTCTGAAAGATGGCATCGGTGAAGCTTTTAAAATGGGAGGGGTGAGAGAATACGACACTTTTGTTTTTATTAAGCAGAACATTATTTACAAAAGCCATGTTGAGAATTAGATCCCCATCATATAAATATCCATTAACCATTCTAAGTAATAGAGAGAACTCCAGTGTTGCTATGTGTAAGATGCTCCCTTGGGGGCCTTTTTGCATAGCAATTAAAGGTGTGCTATTTGTCAGTAGCCATTTTTTGCAGTGATTTAAAGACCAAAGTTGTTTTACAGCTGTGTTACCGTTAAAGGTTTTTTTAAAAAAATATGTATTAAATCAATTTATCACTGTTTGAAGCTTTGAATATCTGCAATCTTTGCCAAGGTACTTTTTTATTTAAAAACATAACTTTGTAAATATTACCCTGTAATATTATATATACTTAATAAAACATTTTAAGCTATTTTGTTGGGCTATTTCTATTGCGACAGCAGACCTCAAGCACATTTCTGAGAAAGTTAGTCTATTAATGTTATTTTCAAGTTGTCCATAGACTATATAAGAATGCAAAGAATGACTTAAAGTATTAAGGATGTTCCTTTATAGAGTAATGCCCAGTATATAAATTTTTTAACTGAAGTGGCATTTTAGATAAAAGTTTTAAACAGGTCCAATGTATTTAATAATTACCTTTCAGTTGATTTCCCAGTGGTATTGTGAAAATATCACATGGCAAAACAGGAGATCTGGGTTCTAGTTACTGCCTGCATCCTGTGCAAGCCACCTACCTGTGCTACCCAGCTGTTCTTGTCTCTAGAATAGGGAGACCCTGTGCAAAAATAACATTAGGGTGCTTTATTTGAATTGGTTGTCATAGCTATTTTGATCACTTAAAACCTGAGACTAAAGAGGGAAATGGGATCTGTTGGCTAGTGTGCCATGAAAATTCAGGTAGTACACCTGAATTCTGAACATCAGTGTTGTGTCAAGGACCTACCCAGTGACTTGTCAAGCTTTCAGTTTTATCTACCTGAGACCTTCCTTCCGTAGGTTCCCTATGATGCCAAAGGTCTGATCCCAGACCCATTATCTCCTAAGTTTAGGGAGACTCGAGACGCAAGAGAGTGTCTGTCTGTTTCTCAGTCGTTTTATCCACTCTAGATTGCACCTGGAACTCTTATTGGGTCACTTGAGATCAAGTGCTCTGATGGGCCAGCCTTGCTTCACCAAATAGCCTGCAATGGAGGTGTGGCCTATATTTGGAGCGTGTGGAGTGGGCTTGGGTAGAAGGCAGAGGGGCAGCCTCACCTGAACCAAAATCCAGAAATAATTACTCAGATAAGATGTCATTTAGTAAAGGATTCTTAGTCAAGACTGCAATCCATTCAGGACTATGTTCTCATTCTGCTTTATGTGTGATAGTAGACCACATGAATGGAAAATAATCTTTGGCAGCCAAGTGCCATCTCATTCCCCACCTCATAAGCAATTTGATTTTTATGCATTTATGAGGACTTTTTCACTCTCAGCAGGAGTAACTAATGGAGTTCAGAAAGTATTTAATGGCCTACCTCCTGCACAGAAAGCTGCCCAAGGTAGCAGAGAAACTGTTCTCAACCTGATTAGAACTCCCATGGAGGTGTACACTTCCAAATGCACCTGGGCTTTATTTTTGTGTGGCATCTCTCCACCTCGAGGCATTGGATTTGACAACATTAGAAAACAATGGATTATGGAATGTTGTCTGGGTGGCTACTGCTCAGTGGTTGTGCAATTGGCTGGCTGGCTGGGCCAGAACTCTCAGACAGTATCCCTCAGCAGAGGCAAGTGATGTATTTAACACTGAGTTACAGATGATTGAACTGGTTATTTTTATTTATTTTTTTATTGTGAAAATACCGTACAGAGGAGTTACAATTACATGGGCAAGATAATGAGTACATTTCTTATCAAGCATTGTTTTACTACTACAGATCACATGCACTCTAATAAGAAATTATTTTTTCTGGGGTTGGGAAGGTGGCTCATTGGTAGAGTGCTTGCCTTGCATGCCTGAGGCCCTGGGTTCGATTCCTCAGCACCACATAAGCAAAAAGAAAAAAGCCAGAAGTGACACTGTGGCTCAAGTGGTAGAGCGCTAGCCTTGAGCTGAAGAGCTGAGGGACAGCGTCCAGGCCCAGAGTTCAGGCCCCACGACTAGACCCCCTCCCCCCAAAATTATTTTTTCAGTCATTGGACTACCAGGCCACAACTTTTCAGTTCTGATCATAACCAGCTGTGAAAGGAAGATATATTCCTAATTGGGGTAATAAGTATTGCTTCTCTCCAATTCAGAGAAAGATGTTTTATAAGTCTGAAATTATAATCTAATCGTGACAGATTGTTTACTAGTTTTGCAGACTGGTAAAACTATTGCCCTTAGGATAGATGTTACACCACCAGACCAGGGAACTAGGTTTTCTGAGAGCCTCTACTTGAAATTACCTTATTTCATCATAGACCTGTCTTACAAAACCCTCAACAAAAGCAGTAACTAAAGATCTGCTTCTGGATTTTCTTTGGCTAGCCTAAGAAATTCCTCCAGATTAAAGTGACAACCTGTAAACATTTATAACTTCATAAACAGGATTGTTTGAAAAGTCTTAGGAGTTGTATTCAAAACAATTATTCTAGTATCTACTTATAATTTGTAGTCATTCTTAATAATGCATTTGGGAGTGCTGCAGTCTAGTTGCACCCTGATGAAATATACTCTTCTGGTCTGTTCAGGTATGGAACAGATTTTGCAGGGAAATAGAACTCTGCCGGGCTAAGGAAATGAGTCTCCAATGGAGCCTTAAAGGGATAGAATGGCCTTGGTACTGAACAGAGCTGAAACTTGAACCTCTCCACCTTTGCCACTTCCTCATTTAGCCATGTGTGGGAACCTTGCATGGCAGGCCTCCAACTACACTCAGGTAGTTCTAGTAATGCAGCTCACCCTCCAGGGAGTTTCTTCCCCCTAACTCAACAGAGCATTTTTAGAATGTGATGTTCATAATTCTTGCTTCTGCTAGTTAGCAAATGCATGTCATTTGTTACCTGAAGAAACCTTTCCCTAGCATACTGCTATCCAATGTTTCTCTTACTTGGATCAGTTAGCTCTGTGTGTGTGTGTGTGTGTGTGTGTGTGTGTG